CATAACGACGCGCATACCGGCATCCAACAATCAAAATATCGAGACAAGGAGCCCAGTAAGCCATCCATGGCACCCCAACGCACAGGGCGACTACTTTGCCTACAAAAGCGGCACGGTTGGTTTCAGTACCGTTCGCGAAACACGTCGGCACGTGACATGTTAACCCAATTAAGTCCCTTCCCCACGCCGCCTCCGCAAAACACGATCGGTGGATCCATACACACATAGTACATGCACTCTACATACACGTCCGGACTGCAATTCTACGCAAACTGTCTACCATCGGCCTTTTCCGATGCCCCGTCTCGCACCTACGCCTTGTCACCACTTCGTCTAGGCAGCGACTCACTCTTCAAACATCCCATCCCATCTCCTATTTGCGAGTGTCCACACAACCGGTCCTTCTTTCTTAGCATCTGACGTGTTGCATACACCTTGGGTCTGTCGATGCACTCGATGTCTGCTTTTCCTGCTACCCCACCTGTACCGGTGAAGATGGTTTACTCAAGGCAGAAGGCCATGGGATGAGCTGCCGTAGCCTCCCTCATCCCCACACGTTCTGTCAGTCAGTCAGAAGGGCGACCTTTCTGCCTTGCACATACTGGCGAATTCAGCCCAAGATCTAGGCACACACTGTGGCAGCCCTAAAATTACTGAAAGAGGCATAGGGAAATCAGCCAAATAACTTATCCTCACACAGCCACAAAATCCGATTGCCATCTCGGCCGGCTCAGGGTCCGTTGTTCAAGCGAATCGGTTGCTTGTTGTTGTGGCTGTTGCTGGTGTATGCGCCATTCTCGACACTAAACTAGTCTTTGGCCCCATTTTCCTTTCCTGTCATCTTCCGAGAGCCTCTTGGCTTCTTCGCTCGCCCATGATTGGTGAGTCTCTCCCGCGCCAATCGCTGTCTCCGAAAAACATGTATGTACGTATGTCGGTAGCATACCCATGTTCCGCTGCCCTACAACTTGACCCTGGCGGAATTATCGCTACCTAAGCTTGTCGCTAGACTGATAAAGGTATTCTAACTCATTTTCGAAAGTCTCCAGGGCTCTGTCCTAGAACCAGCACATGCCGTGATCAAGCCGTCGCCCTTTGACCAACTGCTCTATTCCTCACCTAATGCATGATTCCATGCCATGCTTCTACACACGGTTATGAGCCCGCATAATAGCTGCTTCAACAGACCGATAACTGATCCCTTCCACTATCATCTCCAGTCTTATGGTAAAATAGAGAGTTTAAGCATTTTCTCTAATGCTTACACACTTCAACCCCACGCACATGTCGCGTACACTTCTCTGTATCTTGTATTACCTTTGCTACTAAGAGTCACAGGACGCCTGCAGCAACGGAGTGGCGGTGATTCGGCCCCTCCACACTAGCTACAGCACCGGGTCCCACCACGGAGGATATGTTCGAAGCAGGCAACGGTATCAGATATGTGATCTGCCACTGGATTTCACCAGAATTTTCCAAGTTCTCTCCAATGATCCCTGGATGTTGCAGAACATGGTGGTAGCAGCCGTCCCGCCATGGCTGCCGGCCTCCACCCTACCATGGGTTCGGGAACACCCCTGTGAGTCACGGACGTCAACACGTTGTAATATGTGAAGGGCAAATGGTCATGGGTGGTGCCCAAGGTGAGTCCTGGGAGTGATAATAGAAAAGGGAGAGAGGTCAAACCCTGTCGTCAAATTTCGAAATCCTTCGAGACCTAAGAAGCCCAAACAAATCGCGAATAGCAATGCCGGCCAACATGCGCATCGCTATAGCAGGTGAGACGATGATTGGAATGTTCTAAGAAATCTGCTGACTTTACAACTAACATCAGGTACTTGTGGCCTAGCACTCCTGATAGCTCAGGAGATCAACAACTCGACTAGCCACCAGTTGGTCATTCTCTCAAGAACAGTATGTATCCAAAGACAGCTCATCATCAGATCGCTAAATGGCTTTGGCCAAACTGACTCTTGTTAGCATCAAACAAGTCTTATAGCATCTGGTTACAATTGCCAGACTGTTGACTACAACAATGCCGCCTCACTTCAGCATGCCTTGATGGGTGTTGACACAGTCATATCCACAGTCTTGGGAAGCCCCCAGCTTCGGCTCATTGAAGCGGCTGTACAATGTCGTGTGCGACGTTTCGCGCCTGCCGAGTTCCAAGGTCAACCCGGTTTGCGAAGTCAGAATGGATTACTCGACCGTGGAGAGGACTCGGCCTTGGCTTTACTCAAGCACTACAGTGGCTATATCCAGCACACCGTTTTCGTCTGTGGTATACTATATGAGCGATTCTCCGTCAACGGAATGATGTCTCACCGTATGGGGGCCAGCACAGGTTATGGCAACGAAGGAGACTTCATTGCCAATCCCCGACAGATGACCTCGATAGCGCCAATCTACGATGCCGCGCAAAACCCCTCTTGGCTATGTTTAACATCCGCATATGATGTAGCGCAGTTTGTAGTTCGAGCCATTGACATGCCTACCTGGGCTTCTGAGATGAGCATGTGTGGCGAGCGTATGACTGTGCATAGTCTTGTTGAGACAATCAGAGCTTGTAGGAGTATATTAAATCTCCCGAGTATGATAGGACAGTGAATTGACTTGTGTTAGATCGTGCCTGGGTTAGCATTGAATACCAAGCTCCCGCAAGTACGTCGTCTCACCACTTCATGTCAACTTATGTGCTGACTAAATTCGCAGACCTCGAGTACCATATGACTATGGCACAGTTGGAAGGTGATGTGGCTGGACAAAGACGGCTCGCTCCGCTGCTCGCGACGGCAGAGGGACGCTACGACTTTGTAGTGCCCGCGTACCTCAACACCGTCTTCCCTGACATCCACGTCACTCGTTTCCAAGACTGGTTCCTGCGCAATTGGGCATCTATACCTTGAAGCACCCACACAGATACGTCATACTCTACATGAGATGTGTACGTGTTGATCAAGACCCCGATGCAGGGACGATTTTTTACCAGGATCCATGGGTGAAACGAGCATCAGAAGATCTCGTTATACTGAACTTGGGCAGTATGCCGCTTGCCATAACCGTCCGGTGGCCGGCAGATCCCTGTCGTTTCACCGGTCTGGGAGGCAATACCTCACATTCTCCACTTGGGCGTTATTTATGCTGTCTTTGGCATTGGTTTCCTGCTTGCTTCATTGCTAGGATGATCTTCGAACTTTGCTAGTGGTAGAAATGGGGAAAGGGAAACCACAAGAAGAAACCAGGTGCATTCTTTATGAAGATATTTGTATTTCAAACTTCCCATCATCAAGGGAAGCAATTAGAAGTTGCTTACGTCTTACTGTACTTGGCTTCCCAGTTCCCCCAATCATAACAACCGACACGCGACACTATCCAGAGTTGCGGCTCGCTTGTCCCGATGCACGGGCGCAAGCACTAACTGATTTTGCAGAAGACCATCCGATGATGCGAACAAACCCACTTCGCTGGGGTGGGAATCTGCGATGGGCAAATTGCATCAGTGAGACGTCATGGTGGGGCGAGGGTTCTCAGCTATTATGATAAAACACCAACGTGCCTCACAGTGCAGTTTTCTTTCCAGTATCACAACCACAATTTCAATTACATCTCTAACGCCAAACGCACACTCATAACACTCTTCACTTCCTCCTCATACCCATAAAGTAAGTACAATCATATGCAGTAGGTGGTAGAAGGCTCTCAAGTTGGTGTTCGTGACGCGAGACGCGGCCCCACATGCATGCCTTCAGTACTTATAAGTACTAACATACCTAGCACACAACAACAACCAAAATGGTCTCTTCTCAGCAAGGTTACGCCAACACCACCGTCGACATGAAGGGCAACAACAAGGCCGTCGATGAGGCCCAGTCCAACCTCCCTCTTCCCGACCAGCCACCAGTCGCCTCCGACTTCAACTCTTCTGACGCTCGTACTGTCAACGTTGGCTCGGGCGGCCAAGAAGCCAGCTTCACTTCCGGCGGCGGAGCTATCCGTGAGCCTGCCGTAGGTGCTGGTGGTGCTTCAGCCCGTGAGGCAAAGGATGGTCTCGATGGTATTCCCAACGATGCTGTTTCTCGCGAGGCCAAGAACCACTCTGGCCTTGCCGACACAACTGGCAAGGATTACGGATACCCACAAAAGAACGACCCCAGCTCCGGTCTCAAGCAGTAGAGTGTTCCACGAGGAGATGATGATCAACGATACCCAAAGTGTAGTGGGATTGGAGGATTTTCTTATCATACAAGGTCACTGTCACTGCGTTCAGCTGGCCGACTGCAAGAGCAGTATCTTGATGACTTAATATACGAATTCAATGAATGATGAAATACATCAGTTTCTAATCTTCGTAATGTCGTCTACTAAATGTATTCGCTATCATGTGGCTAGCTGTCCGACTGGTGCATTTGATCTCTGGATCGAAGCAAAGCCATGTCGGAAGTGTGAAAATCAAATATCTCAAGAGACCGTGCACTATGAATTGTACGGCACTCATAATTTCCTCCTTCTAGATATTTTCTAGAAAGGATATCTTACTTTCTAATAGCGGTATAGGGCTAAACGTCGTAAGCTCGCCTTCTTGGTCCAGACAAGAAAGTGTACGTACTCGCTAACCAGGCGCTCATGGAGGCTTGCCAAGACACGACTATTCCCGACGCTATCCCAGCCGCAAAGCACACATGAATACCCGATCTCCACTGCGGTTTGATGGAGTATATTCCGTGATCCAAGTCTATCTCACACCACGTCTGTCCAAGAACAGGGCAGCACTAGTAGTCAAGACTGAGGTGAAGCGCTTTTGACGTCACACAAACGCCAACATACGCCATACGTATGAATAGGTCACAATGATTTATTTATGAGCATACATTAAAGGCAGTTTGCACTTCCCTTGGAAAAGCACATACCATCTACAACTCTCCAACTAAATACCTGCATCCTATTCTCTGTCAGAAAAAAACAACTCAACTTAATCCCAAATAGCAAGATATCTAAATAACATGACTTCCATCGGACAAAAGGTATGCATGCAGTATCACCCGAGAACGGGCTTACATATACTCGCCTTACCCTACGGTGAGATACTGGATGTAATAACGCAGCTGACTTCATCTCCCAGGTAACTACCGACCCTGCGTCGAAAGTTCCCATCAACGAGGCGGTCGGTATCGTAACATCCGACTCTCTCGCAGGCGAGTCCCTTAAGAATCATGGCCACTTTGGTGAAGGCAACCCCAAGGCAGGAGTCTCAGACCAGCCTTCTTCATCCACAAACACAAACACAACCGACACGTCAAATGCCGTCAAGCTCAGCGCTGCCGTTAATTCTGAAGCGCGAGATGCTCAGGAAGGATGGAATGAGGAGAAGACCATAAGCTCAGGCAAGGGTCTAGGCGGCACTTCGGGTAGCACTGAAGGAGCATCCAGCGTGACGGGTACAGCACCCGTTGCTCTCTCTGGTACACATGTCGATCCAGGCGTACTTAAGCCCAAGGGCGCCAATCTGACAGAGGATCCGGAACTACACGGAGACCGCAAGTTTGGCGAAATTGGTACAATCAACGATCCCGCTAGAGAAGCGGAGCGCAAGCTGCAGGGTGTAAATGCTGCAAATGCCGGTGTTACTCCCAAGACGGCCGACATGGCACAGGATGGCGACAGCAAGTTCAGCAACCTTGGAGACACTACTGCTTAAACCTGATCAATGGAGGCATGATGTGAGAGCATGTATGATGTTTAGCAGTTTAGCATTAAGACAATGAACAAGCATAATGAACTCTGAGAGATGTAAATCTTAACTGGGGCGCATTGTTATCATGTGGGATGGCGCTTGCGATAAGTTCGCAGGGTGAAGGAGGCACGTGGCGGAGCGATCCTAAACGGGCCTCTTCCGCGGGCACGGACGCCGATCATTACAGCAGTTCAAGGTGGCCTTTCGCGTCGCATTACCTACTTGTGTCAACGTCGCTCATTAGTTCACCCCACCCTTTACTTTCTTCCCATTTTGATTTTTGCTGAATCGCGACTGGGGCTGCAGTACCCTAGTGTCACGACTGAGCAGCCAGAATGAACGATTTCGGGGAGCATGGGCATGATGATGATGCGTTTGGACCTGCCAAAGGGGGGATCGTGTCAAGTTTCGATGCTTTTCGTAAGTACTACTTTCTCTACGGAAGATCAAGAGGACTTTTGCACGCAGAGATTTGGGGAAGGTGAATTATATCACTTGCAATGGTGGTTTGAACTGATGCGACGTTGCTCACTCATAGACGAGCAACACAACTAACCGACAATCGCAGCCAAAACCAAAAAGACGTACCTCGTTCAGGGTCGCAATTCCTCAGCATGGACAGTAACTCTCATCATTACATGCATCTATCTGACCTGGTCGGAAATTGCGCGCTGGTATGCTGGCACAACGACGCAATCCTTCACCATCGAAAAGGGTGTATCTCACGACATGCAAATAAACCTCGATATAATTGTCGCCATGAAATGTGGTGACCTCCACGTAAACATGCAAGATGCAGCTGGTGATCGCACGCTAGCCGGTGAGCTTCTACGTAAAGACCCAACCTCATGGTCGCAGTGGACTGGCAAGAACACTGAGAAAGGCACGCACGAGTTGGGCGATGAGACAACCCAAATTCCGGAATGGGAAGAGTACGGCGATGTGCACGAGCATTTGGGAAAGGCGACAAAGAAGAAGTTCAGCAAGACACCCAAGCTGCGCGGCCCGACGGATAGTTGCAGAATCTACGGCAATCTTGTGGGAAACAAGGTGCAGGGAGACTTCCACATCACCGCAAGAGGACACGGATACATGGAATTTGGAGAACACCTCGACCATTCAAGTAAGATCACACATCCCAGAACCCGTCAAAAATGTCCCCTCTCCCCCCAAACTAACAAACCCCTTCAGCCTTTAACTTCTCCCACATCATCCGCGAAATGTCATTCGGCCCATACTACCCCTCGCTGACCAACCCCCTCGACTCCACCATCGCCGTCACCCCAACCCCCGCAGACCACTTCTACAAATTCCAATACTACCTCTCCATCGTCCCCACCATCTACACCGACAACCCCTCCCTCATGCCCCTCATGGAATCCGTCGTCTCCACCAAAGACCAACCCTCATCCAACATGTTCCACATGGCGCACGCCATCAAGACAAACCAGTACGCCGTTACCTCGCAGTCGCACAAGGTAGATGACAACTACGTCCCTGGTATCTTTGTCAAGTTCGATATCGAACCCATTATGCTGGCGATTGTCGAGGAGAGCAAGAGCTTCTGGAAGTTGCTGATTACGCTAGTGAATGTTGTCAGTGGTGTCATGGTTGCGGGTAGCTGGGCGTGGCAGATGTTTGATTGGGCGAGCGAGTTTGTGGGTAAGAGGAAGCGGAGGGGTGATGGCGTTGGTGTGCTTGGTACGCCGTCTGTGGAGAAGCAGAGCTGGGATTGAGCGAGCGTGTGGCCAAAGAAAGGGATTGCATTGTTTTGGCGTTTATGGAATGGTTTATGACTTTGGTCTTGTACGCATAGAAGTTCGATGTGTCGAGGTTTTTTCAATTTTTTTTTCAGTCTTTATTGTATCTTATTGTCAAGAGCTGTTATAGGAATTTCGTGTGTAGTTGGTTCGTAGAAGAGCCGACTGTTTGTTTAGGTGATTAAGTAAGGTATGATCATTTCATCAACATCGTATCGTCCCGTTGTTTACTTCAGGATCCATTCTCTTTCCTTCTCCTGCGGATCGACGACATCAACCGAACTACCCACCCATTTTGCCTCTCGAAACGGCAGAATAACCGCCAACACTTTCGACTTGACCAAACCCAACGGCAAAGGACCGAACAGCCTACTATCCCTACTCCACTCCAGATTGTCCCCTTGCACCCAGCAATGCCCATCCGGCACCCGAATCACCTCTTCCCTCACGCTCGCCCACTTCCCCTCAGCATCAACAGCCTCGATATCCTCATCGCTGCGTCCCGGCGTAATAACACTAACAAAGTCACCCGGCATACCAATAACCCGCTTGCACCCATGCTGCTTAGGAAACATGGGGTGCGTATACGTTATCACATCGCCGACCTGTATATTCCGGCCTCGACGGTGAAGCGACGAGTACAAGATCCAAGGGTGTGAGCGAAAGGAATGAGGAATGGTGGGGACCATGGATATACCGGTGGTCGATCCCACGCCGCCGATGTACGAGAAGAAGACATGACCGACGACGAAGACTTTGGCGACGAGGAAGGCGCTACCTAGACGTTGATTTAGTTGCGCAATTGGGCGCATAGGTGTGATTGCAACGTACGCGTCCATGCTTGAGGGCTTAAGAAGGCGGGTGCTGACTTCTTATGGAAGCGGTGGATCGAAGACCATGGTGGCGGCATTACAAAGCAGGAAAAAAAAGATCTTGAGCTTTGGTATCACATGTGCATCTTCTGATTGTGCGATGCTGGGCTTGCGCGTCCGCTCAATGACGTTGCGGAACTTGTTTGTAGCTGGAGCGAGTGAGGGGATGTACGAACGAGTGTTTGGAATTCCGTCAAGCTAGATTATCGCCGGCGCTAGTGCGTTTAACTCCATGGGCATCCCACTTCATGAACTTTTGCGCGGACGAGTGTGATTGCGGAAAGATGGTTCAGGTGCAAGATGAAGTTGTGGGCTTGAAGAGCGCGGAGCAGGCTGGTCTCAGGTATATCGTGCGTGACTTCTCTTGATCTGTTCGTTTTGCTGATGTACTTAGATCTGCACCAACTGGCCTTGAAGGCGAGGGGACATTGCAAGATGCTGTAAGAGGTGCATTCATTTTCTTCGATGCCTTTTTTTACTGAAGTTTTATTTCTTTGTACTTTGTCAACACAGTGCTCATTGATTGGTAGACCTGATAACATCTTACCACGACCTCAACCCCTCTACCATCGATATTCTCCATGAAGAGCCATCACCACTCCAGTTCATGCGACAAGTCGCGCGCAACCGCCCATTCATAATCCGCAACGGAGCCTCATCCTTCCCAGCCCGCAAAAAATGGAACGCCCAGTACCTCCAAGACGTGATGCGCGGCCAAACCGTAAACGTAGCCATGACCCCCCACGGCAACGCCGATTCAGTCGTCGACCTACCCTCTGGCGGCTCCCTCTTCGTCAAGCCCCACGAAACCGACTGCCCCTTCGAATCCGTCTTGACCAAAATCCAGCGTCAAGAACACGATAAAAGATACATCGGCCCAACATACTACGCCCAAACCCAAAACGACAACCTCCGAAACGAATACGCCACCCTCTTCGCCGACGTACCCTCCTCTATCCCCTTCGCTCGTATAGCTTTGGAGCAAGACCCCGACGCAATCAACTTCTGGCTCGGAAACTCGCATTCAACCACCGCTCTGCACAAAGACAACTACGAAAACATTTACGTGCAGATTCTCGGTAAAAAGCATTTTGTATTGCTGCCGCCCGTAGAGGCGGCTTGTGTGAAAGAGAAGGCTGTCCTCGCAGCTACGTATCGACCTAAATCCACGGCATCTAGTGAGGAAGAGAAGGAGGAGCTTGTGATTGCGGTAGATGAGCCGGAGGAATACGTGCCGTTTGCGACGTGGGATCCTGAGGTACCGCTTGCTAATCCGACGCCTTATTCGCAGCACTCGCAGCCTCTACGTGTGTCGTTGGAGGAAGGCGATATGCTGTATTTGCCTGCGCTCTGGTATCACAAAGTAAGCCAGAGTTGCAACGAAGAAGGGATTTGCTGTGCAGTGAATTACTGGTACGATCTCGATTTCAGCGGTGGGTTTTGGAGTACGGCGAATTTTGTGAGGAGTACTGGGCTTTTGTCTATGGGTGGGATAAGTGGGACTGGCAAGGATTCAAAAGGTGGATGGTGAATTATACCAACAGACGAAATAAATTCCAATTAAGGGTATCTCTAGCATCTATAGCACCAAGTACAATATCGGCGGCAAATACAGTCATCTATGAACGCTCATACCCTCTCTATTAATGTTTAATCTTGACTTTAATGTCCACGTTCCTTGCACTCTGCCACACACTATCACTGACTTTGACGGGTAATTTCCGTCCTTTGAGTCGTTGATCAATCAACCACAGTCCCACGACAAATTCGTATCTGGTCAGTCTTCCAATTGCTCGTCCGTCTACCAAGTCCCATACTTCTTCTAGCACGTGCGTGGGTAAGCGACTCCTCGTCCAAATCTCTTTGACCACAAGATTCAGTACGTCGGCGGATGGATCATCGTCAGGCGCTGCACGAGGCGATGGAGGTATGAAAAGGCCTTTGTTTGCCGCCCAGACCCCTTCGTACCGTTTTCGCTCTCTTTCAGTGATCTGGTCACGCCATCGCTTTCGATTTCCCTCATCGTGCTTGTTCGGATGTTTCCGCCCTTTGATGCCCATGATTCTTGTGCCTTTCTTTTTGTACTTGTCCACCTTGTTATCTTCATCGTCTGATGAGGATGGCTCTTTGCGCATTGTGGTACGCAACTTTCCTGTGCTTTTCGGAGGTGAATTCTTTTGCGGAGACGGAGACCGGTGAAACGGCAAGTGGTGATGGTGGTGTTGCTTGCGTGGTGGAAAGAGCGGCTCGACTGACATGGGGCGAGGCGCGGGGGAAACATTGCGAGACTGTGAAGCTAAAGCTGCGCCCATGATTGCGCTTGATAGGGACTCTCCGGTCATGTGCTGAGTGATCTGCTTAACTGATTCGCGTTGGTAGTTGTTGTGATACACCGAAGGGGAGGCCGTTCCTATATTAGATGCTGGTCGATGAGGCGAGAGATTCCGCACCGGAGAGGCTGAACCTGGCGTTTGAGCACCTGCGCGTGATTTGATCTGAATGGGTGTTGTCGGTTGAAGCTTTTGCGAGGCCGGCACTGACTCTGCTTTCCGGGTAGTCGAGCGACGAGGTGGAGGCACGGTTGGCTTGAGTTTGACTTCTGCGTCCTCTTCTTCTTGTTCCTCTTTTGCGGACTTGAAAGAAGACGGCGTTGAAGGCGGTTTAGAGCTTTCCATGGATGTCGACATTCTCCTTGCCTGACGGGAGCCTTTTCGAGGTGGTGAGATTGCCGTCGTCAGAGCTGCTAATTCTACTGGCTTCTGCTTGACCGGAGGTGATTTCATAGGACCCTTTTTAGGCGTATTGAAGTATGCTTTGTCATTCGCACCGTCAGTGAATTGTGGGGATAGCTGAATCTGGTGCTTTGGCTTTGGCTTTGGCTTGACAGGTGGAGGTGTCTGTGTCCTTTTCCTCTGCAGCGGAGCGTTATCTTCTTCCGGGTCAGGTGGTAGTGAAAAGGTCCGCCGAGGCTTTGGGGATCGAACAGGAGGCGGCGAACTTCGAGCAACATGTAAAGGCGTAGAAGTCTGGTCGGTCGGCGTTGTAGATCTGCCTTGTTCAAACATCTTTACTAAGGTATTTGTAGGCGGTATAGGAGTATCGTCGGTGGGCCTGCTGGTTAATTCCGGTCGCTGGGCACGGCTGGCAGCTGAGCGCGACTCAAGACTGTCTCTCCTTTTCTGCTGCTGCGGACCAGGCTTCTTAGGCTCAAGTTTCGCAAGTAGATTGCCCACACTACCAGGCGGAGGTAGGATATCCCTTTCATTCGGCTCTTGTTCGTCCATCGTAGGCGCGGGCTGGAGTTTGGGTTGGGGCATGGGCTTCAGAGGGCTGTGCCGGGCAGCGGCCAGCCGTGCCGCGATGTTGGATGGAGATGGTACACGGTCAAGGTGATCGCCAGGAACGCTCAACGACGTAGCATTCGCCGGGTTGGAGGTGATTGGTCTGCTGACGCCTAGAGATCCGCCGGTATGGTCTCGTTGTAAGGATGCAGGGCTGCCTGTTCCAACCCGCGTGGCTGCTAGCCAAGCTGCATTGTCTCCTCCGGTATATGTGTTGGTGACAGGCTTCGGCTTCACAGGGGGTTTGGAGAAGGCTTTCGAGGCGCCCTGCAATGCAGCGTTGCGTACGTTGTGCTGCACATCTCCGGCTGACTGCGGGACCCAGCCCTGGTTGCGTGTAGAGCTCATTTATGCTCCATCGGGTTGGTCAACAATAATGACGTACACAAAGGGATTTCAAGGCTATCGATTCGGGTTGGACAGTAGCGCTACGCAGCATACATATGTACATGGAAGGAAGAGAAAAAGAGAGACGGCGCTGAAAACGAACAGTGGAGTCGCAATTCTAATGTTCCAAGATTAGCACTGTCAGCCTCATGACAGCCCCCGTTTATCCACCTGTGCATGGGTGATGTCCTGGGCAGTACGCTAACCGCTTCCATGCCTAAGAGCCACGTGATCACGCGCAACGCTAAACGCGACCTTCCAGGCATCCACGACGCGGCATTCAAATACCAACGACGGCCCACTGCGTGGTGCTCCTCATCAATGCACTCAAAATGGCAGAAGATACGCCAATGCCAGATACAGACGCCGTACGGGAAAATACCCTCATGTACGGCCATGATGACGACCTGGACGAGAAATACCCGCTGCGGCCTTTGAATTTACACAAGACACTGCCGTTTCACACATTGTTCACCGATCTTTTCAACCCGCTCATGGACACGCAAAAAAAGAAGCAGCCGGTTGGCCCCCGGCGCAAGGTTGGACCGCACGGCCGCGGCAACCTAACGCCACATGAAGCCAAGCGGAACATCGTCGAGCGCTTTATTGCGAATTGGCGGAAGCAGGTGGGGAATGACTTCTATCCTGCAATGCGTCTCATTATCCCCGAGAAAGACCGAGAGCGGGCAATGTATGGTTTGAAAGAGAAGACAATAGCAAAAATCTTGATCAAGCTCACCAGAATTGGCAAGGATTCAGATGATGCGAAGCACATGCTCAACTGGAAGTTACCTAGTCAGCTGCAAAAGGCACCAACTTGGACTGCTGGCGACTTTGCCGGACGGTGCTATGAGATTCTATCGTCACGTCAGCTCAAGACAGAGTACAGCGACATGAGCATCGCGGAAGTCAACAATGCTCTCGACAAATTATCGCAGGTCGGTACCGAAGAGGAGCAAGTTAAAATCTTCCAGAGATTTTATCGGAGAATGAATGCCGAGGAAATGACGTGGCTTATTCGGATGATTCTTCGTCAGATGAAAATTGGCGCGACTGAGAAGACCTTGCTTGACATTTGGCATCCGGATGCAGAAACGCTATTCAACGTGTCATCAAATCTTCGGCGTGTTTGTTGGGAGCTTTTTGATCACAACATACGTCTTGAAGGCGAGAATACTGGTCTTAGTCTCATGCAATGCTTCCAACCGCAACTAGCTCAATTTCAGGACAAAGTAGGCTCGTTCCAGAAAATGGTTACCAGGTTCAAAGGAGATTCAGATGACGATACGTTCTGGATTGAGGAGAAACTGGACGGTGAACGCATGCAACTACATATGGTAGAGGACTCAGATGCGCCAGGCGGGAAATCGTTTGGCTTCTGGTCGCGAAAGGCAAAAGACTACACTTATCTCTATGGAAAGCATTTCCACGGCGACGAAGCTGGAGCACTCACGCGGTTCGTAACAGAAGCATTTGGGAAGAATGTGAGGAACATTATCCTCGACGGCGAAATGGTTACCTGGGACATGGAAACTGATCACATCGTTGGGTTTGGTACTCTCAAGACGGCAGCCATATCTGAAAAGGAGAACAAAACAAATCAAGAGACTGGCCAGCGACCATTGTTTCGAGTGTTTGATTGTGTGTATCTGAACGATACGTTGCTCACCCAGTATACGCTTCGTGATCGCCGTCGTGCTCTGGAAAGCGCTGTCAAAGGTGTACATCGCAGATTAGAAGTCCATCCATATATTGAGGCGCGTTCGCATACTGAGATCGAGCCGGCGCTGCGAAAAGTGGTTGCTGAAGCATCCGAGGGCTTGGTGTTAAAGAACCCTCGCTCAATGTATTGCTTGAACCAACGAAACAATGATTGGATGAAGGTGAAGCCGGAGTACATGTCCGAGTTTGGAGAGTCTCTTGACTGCATTGTCGTGGGAGGGTACTTTGGCTCTGGCCGTCGCGGTGGTGCCCACTCATCTTTTCTCTGTGCGTTACTAACGAACAAGAGCGCAAAGCCAGGAGACCCCAAACACGAACATTGTTGGTCATTCTTCAAAGTTGGTGGTGGATTTAGCTCGGACGACTACGCTGCTTTACGAGGACGAACGCAAGGAAAATGGCATGACTGGGATCCTCGGCGTCCACCGCCATTCATCGAACTAGGTGGCCACGAGCAGAATCGGCAACATGAGAGACCGGACCAATGGATTAGACCAAGTGACTCTGTCGTACTGGAGTGCAAAGCTGCCAGCGTCGAGAGCAGCGACAAGTTCCGCTTTGCATTGACACTCCGCTTTCCGCGCTTCAAGCAGCTCAGGACAGACAAACGATGGGATCAGGCGCTTTCCGTGCAGGAATTCCTGGAAGTCAAAACTAAAATAGAGATCGAGAAGTCCGAGAAAGAGAAGGAATTCAAGATCGAACAGTCACGACGCAAGAAGGCGCGCACATCGAAGAAGCCGCTGGCGGTGATGGGCAACGATACAGTGACGACGCCTTATGCAGGCCCAGAGTCTAAAATCTTCGACGGACTCAGCTTCTATGTCATGACTGAACAGGTGCACCCAATGAAGAAATCTAAAGCCGACCTAGAGGCACTGATCAAAGCCAACGGTGGCAAGCTTGTCCAACGCGACTCTACAGACAAGAATCTCATCATCATTGCCGACAAACGGCTGATCAAAGTCGCGTCGCTGGAAAAGCGAGCTACAAACAACATCGTCAAGCCAATCTGGATCCAAGACTGTATTACGCAAAGCGAAGCAGACACTGGCGCACTGCCCTACCTACTCCCTTTTGAACCGAATAGGCACATGTTCTACCTCCACGATGACGATCAATTCGAGATTGAGAGCAACGTAGATGAAAATGGCGATTCTTACGCACGCGACATTGCGGACGTGGAAGAGATGAGGAAGTTGCTGGATGGGATGATGAAACCGGAAAGTCCAGCTACGTTCCAGCGACAAGAATTTTTGAAACAGTTGGAAGATCATAGCAAGCCTCTGGAGCAGCTGAAGACTCATATGTTTCACTCTGTCAAAGCTGTTTTTCCAGATGATGTGGATAGCGAAGAATGGTCGTTGAAGGCGCAACTGGCGAAGAACTATCTCCGTTTTGGAGATGGGCTGATTGCTGATAACGAGGAAGAAGAGGGAGTCACGCACATCGTTGTACCAGATGAGAGATCTATGCCCAAGAGATTGAATCCGAGAATCTCTGGACTTGCTCGAATAGTTGGTATAGGATGGGTGGAAAAGTGCTGGGAAGAAGGTACAAGGTTGGATGAAGAGAGATTTCAATGGGGTTAGAGCCCCATCCACTTTTACATTTCACAATGATAATGATCATGATGCCACGAATGGCTCAGCCTTCTCAAAACGTGCTTCCCTTCGTCAATCTCCTCCGCCACCCCCTCTCCCTCATCTCCCTCTCTCCAGTATCCGCCCGCGATATCCTAAGCTCCCCACTCGGTACTATCAACGAACCCCCGCTCTGTTTCAAACGCCTCCGCAAGTCGTCTTCCTCTAGATACTCAGCCTCGGTACCAAGCTCCTGCCTGACTGCAGCCGAGTAATCCATGATGCTGCGCAACAGCCCCGGTCTCCGCCCACTCTTGTACATTCTCGAGCTCAGCCGTGTATCGAGCCACATGCCTATCATGATGCATGTCCAGATGAAGTTGAATATGGACACCATGAAGAGGAAGATGTAGGAGAAGCCCCACTGGTATGTCTCGCTTGGTTGACAGGAGCCGTGCTCAAGCAAGTATGAAGTGTTGTATACATCTGTGGGACGGTCCTCGAAAGCAACGGGGACCTGTCCATGCCATTCTGGCGGAGGTATTATCTTTTCTGGGTAGGTCCGGTAGGTTGTAATATTGAGGCTTGGGGAAGTGAGCTCTAGAGGTGTCGTCATCCCTTCTACTACCCATTTTGAAGGCTCATCAGTGTATAGCTCGGAGTAAGTAAAACCGTCTACAGTTGTTCCGGGGGTTCTGCCTGTATCAGGATCGAACTGTTCCATGTCTGAGTAGAGGTTAGCCAGCTACTGAGGAGAGTTTACGTTCGACATACAAAGTTTGACAGCGTTTCTAAGTTCCGTATCGGCTTCTGTGATTATCAAGGGTTTGTCGTAGCGTAATAATCTATCCGCATCTTGAATAATATTCGTCACTCGTCTTACTTTACTCCACTCGATGAGGTTGTGGTCGTGATTCTCCACATATAGCTCGTACGTAGTAATGTAACCCGTCATGGCACCCATCAAAGTCGGAAATGATAGCACGTACAGAGTCGACAGCAACATGGACAGCATCGCAAGCCACCTGAAGAACCGACGCCGTGTTCTTTTGCCAAACGCCAGAAACTCTCTTGCTAATACACCAAGCGTACCCATAGTCGTTGTTTCAAACGCAACAGCCGCGTAGAGTTTGTAGGAAGTGAAATGCATCTCCATGTGATATATCAGCCACTCGTTGAAGACGCGATAGTTGATCCAACCCAGCAGTAACTGTCCCCCTCTCCCGACGATGACGTCCCAAGCAACGTCGATAACTTTGACCTGGGTGAAGGTGAAGGCTCCAAAGCTGAGGTTTGGCGTGAAAAAGTAGGAAGAATCCATGATGCGCCATGTCGCACCAGGCTTTTCTTTCCAAAGACCATTGGGATAGCAGTCCCGGCCCATTATGTAGCCCTGTGATGTCATTTCCGCGGCTGCAGCGAGGACTACAATGATGGCGAGCGCAAGGAGGGCCGCAAGAGCAATCAAAGTTACTTTCCAAGGAGAAGACGACCAGATTTCTCTCAACCCGGCTTTACGAGTCTCTATCTTGGGCTGCAGTATATCAGATCCGGTGCCATCGTCGAGGCCCTGCATTTCCATCGTTTCCGCGCGTTTACCTTGCTCTTCAGTCGCGTCCTGGGAGGTGATGGAGATGTACGCGGATGGCCTCATATCGGAACAAGCGATAACATGTGATACACATCGAGAGTAAGAGACATGTGTGCGTGTGTGTCCGGAGGCATACTTTCAGAGACGGTACGATAATTTGAAGTGCGCTGCGTTTAGGCGTCCAAGATCGTCGTACGTATGAACCTGGCTGTTACAAGGCCAAGCGAGGCGCAGCAGTGTGAGCATTGCCGATTGGGGGCTGGAAGATGGCCGTGACAATCGAAAATACGTTGGGGCACTGAAGCTGGTACTTGTTGTTTTGCCATGGTTGACGCGGGCTGTGAAATGGGTGTAAATTCTGTAAATTCTATCTAGTGGCGATGGAAGGGGTGGTTCCATACGAAGTACTAGTAGTATGCCGCTATGCGCATCATTAGCATGGGGGAAGCCAGACAGCGCTAGTAGTAGGGTCCACAACGAGATGTCTATCCTCCAGGCCTCGCAACCTACCCGTAGCTCGACCGCAAAAACAAATCATCTTATCTTGCAACAATGATGCAGTTCGGCGGTACGAGCCAAGTCGGGCAGGTTAGTTTATGCTAGCGGCACACACCCCGCACATCCCGCTTCCAACCAGGGGCCAGCAACGGACCAAGCCATAAATGGTAATGTTTACATTGTCTTCGATGAAGTTGATTCGTTGCATGTGTAATGAATTCTATCGAACCGGAATGCACAAGGTTTGCGATGCAGCATGTGAGCAAGAATCGAGCGGGAAGTTAGCAACAATGTCTCCTGAGCTGCTGGACCCTTTCACCCTTACTCCACCAGGGTGGAGAGAGAGGAGAAGAACAACTTGAATTGCCCTACTTACCGCAAGCTGTAAAGGCATATCCCATCAGAATGCCTGTATCTGAAATGACCGCCCTCTGGAACCTGCGAATAGCTTTGCTCACGGGGCTGGCCGTCACTCTCCTAGGCGCATTCTACGTCTACCAGTCACCATCGCCTCTGGATTTCACAATACCGCATCGCACATCAGGCAACGGCTTACCCGGACTCGAATTATCGCTCAGCCAGAAATCTCGAGATCCGCCTACTCTCCTTGTGACTGTGGAGAACAATCACTCCGACACAACGTACACGGTACTCAAATGGAACACGCCACTGGATCCGTACGCACTCGACGCGGGCGTCTTCAACATAGTAGACGAAACTAGCCACCGCGAGATAGAACAGGCTATAATACATATTACCCGCAAGATGCCGCCGCCTCCGAACCAGTTGTTGACGTTAGCGCCTGGTATGCGAGAAGAGGTTGAGATAGTGTTTCATAGACCATGGATGCCAGAGCGCAGGCCTTCAAAGTACAGAGTTAGTGCTGAAGGAGTATTCAAGGGCGCGTGGGCAAAGCATCGAGATGAATTGACAAAGGACGAGTTATACGCTTTTGCGGAAAGTCCGTTCAGTGGGCGGAGATTCGCAACGAATGAAGTTATTGTGGAAATTTAATGATAATACAGATGTAATGAGATACAAAGGATTGAACATGCATACAACATATGAATGAATACTGAAGTATTCACAGTGTAGCTTTGTCTAGTCTTCGCTCTTTATCCCTCTGCCATATCCTCAACCTTCCAGCCCACGCTCTTCCCCCGCCTCCTTTACAGATCTACTTGTGCCCTGGTATCCAAACAACCTCCCTCCCTATATATAAAAAATCCTACACGACGTGTGCGTGAATGCCTGCGATATATACTAAACCACCGCCCCTCACATCAGCAACAGCGAATCCTAAGCGTTCAGCGTAAAACATACCTTTCTCGGCTTCTCCAACCGCTCCCACAGTGAAACCCGCGAAGCCTTCGTCACCACCCTCTTAATCGAATCTCTCGTGAGTATCCGTTTCATCTTCGCTTTCTGCTAATCGTGATAGTAATAAGACAGTTGAATATGTCACAAAAGATTGCCAACAAAAAGAAGAAAACGTGATTTAAAAAGTCTTGTTCGGTTTTACGAAGAAATTGTGGAGTCAAAGTAAAGCAGTGGTATACATACACCCGCTAGTCGGAAATTACCTCAAATGCTTTTTTTTGAAGGTAGTCTTGGTGAGTATATCTGAATGCCGGACATTAAAACGGCAAACGAACTTGGGTATCCGCAAGTGTGTATGTTTGAATTTGAGATTGACCGGCGGAATAAAGTTTGTTAGATGTGGAAAGTTACACGGATGAGAGTCGGGACTGGGTTGTTTTGCTGACTGGAACATCGGGGAAGAAAGGGGGAGAAATTGATGATTTCCAGTCTTGTTATTTTGGTGGGTCTTTGGAGGTAACCAACCTGACGAGTATGAATATGTGGGGTTTTGTTGCATGTGCCATGTGAAGATACAAATGGCTTTTGCTGTGAGGTTGTGTTGGATTATAGTTAGTATAAGGGTGTTGATAGGCTCCATCATGTAAAAGGCGGATCAAGAATGGTGGAGGTAGTGAGAGGGCTGCAGTGTGTATGTAATCGATGGCGAAGGGAAGTTGTATCTGCGACATGGGTAGTAATAGCGGCATGACTGTATAGGTTGGAATTTTAACAGTGAGGGTATAGGTTCATCCTTCTTTTTGTAGTGTGTCACACTTCGGACTACATACCATATTTACTACTTATCAAGGCTAGTTGATAGACTGGCTGTAATAGGTAGAGGCTAGCCTCAATGTCCGCCTCGCACTTGAAGCTAGTCCGGAGACTGGCCTATGTTACTATGTGTAGTAGGCGGAACATCAAACGCTGCTACACGGATGGATTGTAAGAAAGGATCGATCAAACGCCTTCACATGAAAACGTCATTTCAAGGGCTAGCATGCTGATCCCGTTACGGTAACCGAAGCTAATTCAAAGCCAACAACCGTTACATAGCGCCATTCCCGCAACTCTTGGTCATGTGACATACTGGCTCCATCTTGTGCATTTATTGCTTGTCGCGTGCCTGCCCCTCGATGTTCACCTCCTCAGACTGTCCAGCCGAGCCTGAAGATCATCGTCGTCGGGGTCAGCACCTCCTCCGCCAACGGCCTGTGCCACCCTAGTTTCAGGGACTGTATTCTTTTGCAGGCCACTGGGTGTTTCGCCAAGCTGTCACTCGTTAGCAAATGCGCTTCTAAACATAACATTCGACCTACAGCCTGGCCTAGATCAATGCCTATCTCGTCCAAAACTTGGTTGACTACGTCCTCGCTCTCCTCTTCGTCTTCCATGCCCGTGGCATCGTCGATAGCGTCATCCATCATCTCCTGTCGTTGATCCATGATGTCATTCTCTTTTTCGAATTCCATGGCGATACGCTGAAGCGCGGGGAGGTTCATCTGTCTGTTCATGCTTCCAAGCAGTGCTGCGAATGTTAATATTGTGGTGGGCACATTGGAACATGGACCTACTCGTGGCGCCCTTCATAGACTGCATCATCTGCTCATTGCTGCGAACCGTCTGCTTGCGGTCAGCCACATAGCCCCAATCTGGTTGATCATGCCCATATTTACCTGGATCCTCAACGAAATCGCCTGTAGTTGTGTGCGCATCTGGTAGAACTTCTGGATATAGCTGGAGCGAGTGTCAGTCCCAAGCCAGCAATGCGATAGGCAGCAGGCCAGCATACCGTCGTGTCCGCACCAAGTCCTTTGCCTGTATCCGCAATGGGCCCATTTGGCCATTTTTGGCGCTCTTCTTGATGTCTGCAACCAGCTTCTTTTCCTGGTTCTCGAGCTTCACGCGCTCACGGTCTAGCTCTCGTTGCGTCTTCTCGAGTGCACGCTGGTGTTTGCGCAGCCGCTCCGCCGGCGTCATGCGCTTTCCGAAGGCCCATTCTACGATCTGGGGGATATGTCAGCTGAGGCTGTAGCGAAAACCAGGCAATACTCACATTCATGGCGGCGACGGGTGCGAAGTGGAGAAGGGCCGTAGGATGGCGTAGACTTGGGGTGGGAGATTAGCGGGTAGGGCCTAACCGCTACCTGTCGCTATCAAGGATGTGATGTAGGCAGGTAGATTGGCAAAGATGGCGGTGAAGTAGCCCACCTGCAACCATCCGGGCTCCCAGTAATTGTCACACGTGGGCTGGGTTGCTGGATTGTGGTAGATATTTGGTGTTCTGCCTGCCTGGTCGAGTAGCCGTTGGATCGTCACGCAGGCCGGCACGTAGGCATGTAGGGGACTGCAATGCCGAGCCTTTGTCAAGTTATCACACTTGCATTGTCGGGCTTCCACTAGCTAACGGATTTCTATACTGGAGGCTCGCTGTCTCCCCCTCCAGGCCACTTCCTTGCCACTCGCTCACATGCAAGACGCTGTATCGCATTGTCAGCCGGGCGGTCGCGTAGGAAGTGGGCGACAGCCAATCCCTGCGTGCAATCTTGGTGGCGTGTGCACCACCAACTCTGACGTTCCCTCGCTGCATATTCTTTTCCTTCGTCCGCCGCCTCCCTCGTCCACGACACCATCTCCCCGTATCCAACACGACATGCGCCCCTCCTTGTAGCCTACAACAATACATCAAACCTCCCCGATGAATCCAAACCGCCGCAACAACCGCCGCCCCTCCACGCCGGGAGAGTCCTCCAGCAGCCGCCAAGGCTCTTCCGACGGCTTTGTCCCGCGCCGAAATGCAGGACCCGGATACATGACCGTCGGCGGCGGTAGCACAACCAGCGATGCCGCTGCCCGCCTGGTGTCTATGCTGGACGAAGACTCTGGCTATGGCGGCAGTGTGCAGGATGGCGAAGGCTCTGGCATGAATTGGCGCTCCAACATTGGCGAAGACCGCCCCTCACCTGTACCCATACTCTCCGCAGGCTCATCAAATGCTGAGCACGAGAAGCAGCGCAGCCACGTCCTTCAACTGCGATACAACCAGAACAAAAATGCCCTCGGCCGCGCAATCCACGGCACAATCGAGGCCTTGAAGAGTTTCCAAGAAATGAATTTGAAATGGCCCGCGCACTACCCTTCTATCCAAGCAGCAGAGAAGCAAAAATCACATCTTCGCAGCGACTCGCGGCCCGGACTACACCACACCCAGTCCGCAATGGGCGACTTCGATCCCGCTTCCCGCTCGCCTGAACGACCCCGCGGACCACGACGAGCCGGTACCACGATCGGAGACGACGCCGAGTCCAGTTCAGCCATCGAACAAAAGCGAAAGGACGAGCCTCGACTAGTGACACCTCAACTCGCCCACGATTTCTCGGTCCTGAAATTAGAATTGCGCATGGGCAGCCGGACACAAACAGATTTGGTCCATTCGCTCGAAAAGAACTCCGTCGCCTCTCTCCTGGACGGTCAGATCCAGCAAAGTATACGCCACCTGTTTGCCCTCAAGGAGCGCATTGAAGACACCTCAAGCAAGGTCCTGGTGACCGGAGACCTGAACGCTGGAAAGTCTACGTTCTGCAACGCCCTGCTCCGTCGCAAAGTTCTTCCCGAAGACCAACAGCCTTGCACGAGCATATTCTGCGAGGTCCTTGACTTTAGAGAGAATGGCGGGGTTGAGGAAGTTCATGCCATCCCCATTGGATCGACCTACAACCGCAACGACGAGAGCACATACATTGTCTTTGATCTGAAGGACCTTGAAAGGATTGTGATCGACAACGATCATTTCTCACAATGCAAGATTTATGTCAAAGACATCCGCGATGTGGACGAATCTCTGCTGAACAACGGCGTGGTTGACATTGCCCTTATTGATGCACCTGGACTCAATGCCGATTCCATTAAGACCACGGCAGTTTTCGCCCGTCAAGAAGAAATTGACGTTGTTGTCTTTGTCGTTTCAGCCGCCAACCACTTTACAGAATCTGCGAAAAACTTTATCTTCACAGCAGCCCGCGAGAAGGCTTACATGTTCATGGTGGTGAACGGCTTCGATACGATCAGGGATCAGAGACGTTGCCAGGAAATGATTTTGAAGCAGGTCAACAGCCTCAGCCCAGCAACCTTCAAGGAATCCAGCGAACTAGTGCACTTTGTTTCGAGTAACGCAATTCCCATGGGTGCAGGCGGAAGTCCTCCAGATGACGACGATGACGACCCATCGGGTAAGGGTAAGGGCAAGGAAGCAGAAAAACAGCGGGATTTCGCAGACCTTGAAGCTTCACTAAGACGTTTTGTCCTGGAGAAGAGGGCCAGATCAAAGCTAGCGCCAGCAAAGACTTATCTGCTCAACGTATTAGGAGACATGCACAACTTGGCAACTATCAACCGCGATGTTTCCCAGAACGAACTGGACCGTATCAAGAAAGAGATTGAGGCGCTCGAGCCAGAGTTTGAAGAATCAAAGAAGTCTCGAACAGAAGCTGGAGAAGCAGTGGACCGCATGGTGGAGGACACGACCTCGGAGGTCTACGGCCACACCCGCGACACTCTCAACGACTGTATCGCTAAGGTGGCCGAGCTGGACTTGGGCATCGAATACCCAGGACTCTTTTCAGCCTACCAGTATGCCGAAGACATTCGCGATTCCA